ACCCGCAGCACGTCCCAGGCACAGTTCAGGGTGCTGGGCACAGCCATGCTCCACTGGAAAATGTTTACCAGCCAGCTCTCTGGAAAAAGTAAAGTATGCACGTAGAGCGTAAGGCTTACTGATGGAGAGAATGTGTAACACATTCTCTACAAATAATAATAAAATATACACTGCTCTTTATCGTAAGTTGCATATAGCCAATCGACCCTCACAGAGCGCTTTCACTGACAGGCTGAATGCTCACACCCACAGCCAACTTACCTTCACGACTGACAAGAGAGTGTGTTCCCAACCTGAACGTGGGTGGATATCTTTGTTTGCATCCACGAGTAAGACAAAAGTGAAACAAGAAAGATGTATGTTGGAACTTCACGTGTTTATCAATGACCTCTTTGCTGTACCAGATAATAGTTTTTTAATACTTCCTCAAGAACTATTTCACCAATTTTACGTGCTACTCATAATTTAATGGCTCTAGACATAACATGCTTTTATATAATTTACATTGTTAACATTTTCACCAGAACCTCCTTAAGTGTAGACGGTCAGCAAAACAAAAAAGATCAAGCTCTGATTTACAGTATGTCCTGATTTCTGTGGTATAAATACTTCCATCAAGGCCAATGTCAAGCGACCAGTGAGACCTCACTGAATACAGAGATGCAGAGAGACGAGTGGTAACGCACACCTATGTAGAGTTAAATAACCTCAAGAGCATGGATAATAATAAAATATAGTAAAATAATGAGGAAGAGTGAGTTTTAACTATCTGTTACCTTTGTTTCTAATATCATTTAATTATATGTTTATGTAATTTGATTTTTATTAATGGCTGTGTCTCTCAACCAGCTCAAGAAATTCCTGGGCATTCAGCAACTGGCTCTCATGAGCTGGTAGCGGCTGGCTCCAGCACATCTCTGGTACAGAGGACATCCCCCGTCCTGCTTGCGTGGAGGCTGGTGTCCTCTGAGTCACATCCAGCGTGTGCCATATGAATAATACTTCCATAAAAGAGTTGTCAGTGTTCCTAGAAAATCCTGTTTCCAAGTACCCCTTGCAACATCATGTGGTTCTTCGCACCGTTTCTTTTTTACCTTCTTTCTTATAACTCAGAAAATCTCCTATTCCTCACTAACCGATCATTTAAGACTTTTTCGTGGGTATAGAAAGCAGGGATAAAATCATGACTTTGAATAACCTCAAAGCTCTGAGAGCATGGTGTTAGAATCAAACTGCATCACTGCTTCCTGGCTGTGGGACCTTGGGCAAGTCACTTAACCTCTCTGAGCTTCAGTTTCTTAATCCACAGCATGGGGCTAAAAATGCCTCCCCACCTCCGAGATTATCCTGGCGATCAGATGAGAACACATATGTTCAGTGCACAGCACAGTCTCCGGCACATGTGTGCCTTCTCGACATGGTGGCTCATGGCCATAGAAGTATCGGCAATTACAAACAACAGAGCTTGTGACGGCCTCTCTAAGGGCAAGGTCTATTTCACTTTCTACCCAGCTTCCAGGGCTTCCTGGCAGAATGTGCGTGTCCTGTAGGCACCCTGTATCCAAACTACCTTGATTACTTTAGAGTGTCCCATTCAGCCTGCACCTTTTACAGGGCTAAAAGCAATATTGGAAAGATAACACAAAGAACAAGTAGATAATCTGAAAAAAAATGGATTATGTTTTCTTGAGTAAATCATTGCCAGGTGTTTGTTCAAGCTGATATAAATTCAGCAGTGGGTGTGTCATGGTTAATCCAGGTGGTTGACAACCTGCTATTTTAGAGAGAGTGTGGAAGAAATCAGGAACATCACATATGCTCCCTCAAAAACAAAACAAAAAAACATGCAACATGCCATATGGTCAGAGAATGGGGGGGGGCAGAACAAGAGAAAGCATTAGCATGTATTTTTAAACTAAAGTTTCTAAAAACAGACTTGTTGATAACTGACCTTGACCCCAAGCTCTGTGTACATTCTAATGTGAGCACAGCCCAGAACCAGCTTTTTAATGTGAGTCTTTTTGTGTTTGCTTTACCCCTGCCTATTTCCTTATAGTTACCGGCAGCCATTTCTGAGAAAACCTTGACCTTGCCTATTATAGAGCAAGCAGGCAAACCAGAAAAAATCAACTTTAACCTTCCAACTAAAGCCATCCACAATCAACAAGCTTGAGAAAGAAAACAAAAAGCTTTATAGTTTTATTTTTGAACCCAGAAAGCCGATTGGAGTCTTTGCAGCAGTCACGAGTCTCTGGTTCCTCCCCGTTTAGACACCCTACGGTTAGGGCTCTGTGCTGCTCTAGCTAGCTTCATGGGGCTGAGCAGCTCAGGGCACCCAAGCCAGGGCTCAAAGCGAGCTTCCCCGCGTGCACGTCCACGTTCACAGCAGCATGGTCACGATAGTCAGAGTGGAAACAACCCAAGTGCCCTCTGACACTGAATGGATAAACAAAATGTGATGTATACAAAAAGGAAGGGGATTCTGACACCTGCTACAAGGATGAACCTTGAGGACCCGCTGCTCAGTGAAATAAGCCAGTCACCAAAAGACAAATGCTGTGTGATTCCACTTACCTGAGGTACCTAGAGAGTCAAATTCATAGAGACAGAAAGTGGAATGGTGGGTGCCAGGGGCTGGGGGGAGGGGAAAAGGGGAGGTGTTATTTCATGGGGACAGCGTTTCAGTTTTGCAAGATGGAAACTTTCTGAAGATCTGTCTTCCCAGCAATGTGAGTGGCCTTAACACTCCTGAACCCTGCACTTAAAAATGTTTAAGATGGCAAATTTTATGTTATGTGTGATTTACCAAATTAATACAGCAACAGCTTCCATCTCTCGGCGCCTGGGCCCCACTCCCTCATGGGGGGGGCTACATTCTCGAGTCTGGGAGGTCCTTCCAGATCCTGGTGTCCAGCCACGGATCCCACGGGTCCTCCGATTGGATCACATGCCCCACTACTGGACCAATCACGATGGCCAGGGGATGTGATTGGCTGCGTGTGTAGCCCCACCCACAACAAGGAGCTCGGCTATTGGGTGGGGGATTCCCCCGGAATCTCCCAAAAGACCCGAGTGGGTTCTGGCCTGAGCGCCCCGGAAGTGGAGCACTGGAGACCCCCGGTGTGTTCACTCCTGCTAGCATCCTTGCGGTTGGTTAGCGGTGAGCAGGTTACCTGAGGACCCCAGCACGAGAGGGAGTTCCCCCGCCCCTGCCAGTAACCTCTAGATTTGCTCTCCAGCAGGCTGGGGGTAAACCACACTAGAATTTACCCTTTGTCACCTTCGGCCCATTCGTTCAATAAATATTTATTAAACTGGCGGGAGAAGTTCTAGGAGTGACTGAGGCAAGAGGAGGGGAAGGGAAGGGACAGGGTGGATGGAGAAGTCAGGGCAGGAGCAGGACACCTCGGCCGCGGAGAGTGAGGACAGGAGGAAGGCACAGATGGAGAGACTAAGGTGTTGACAGTGGAGAGAAATTCGAAACTGCGCAGAAGGTAACAGATTCCCGGCACCCTGCCAAGTCCGTTCCAGAAGTAGATGTAAAGTGGGCCAGTAACATTAGGAATGCTGGGCCAGATGTCTCCAGGCAGTTGGAGCTTGGAGCTTGATTTCCCCCCGAACACTGTTCTCACCGGCTCCAAGAAAGAGTCTTCAGAGGGAACGCACAGGATCCTTGACTTGCTGGGAAAAGACTGGAGCTAAAAGCTTGGTTCAGGGGCCTGAGTGAGCCGGAGAGCCTTCCTGTTGAGTAAAATCCAACTGAAGCTCTGCAAGCTGGTGCTCATATTTTGGAAGAATCTGTTTCTCTCTGTGTGCCTCTGAACTCATATTCTCTCCAGTCTACAGAAGGAGAAATGTGAGCTAAGGGGAATAGATGTGTGGCCCTACATAGGTCCTGACAAACATTTGAACTTAGTGTGTTTTTTCTGCCAAGAGAAGGGAGTGAGGGTTGAGAGACAGCAACAGAGACAGGGGTCATCAGACCTCCATCCCAGTTCCTTCCCCACCACAACCTGAGCCTGAGTAAATTCCTTAACCTCACCAAGCCTCAGTTTGGAAAGTAGGAATCAGGAGACCTGAAGGGCTATTGTGAGGAATGGATAAGGAAAGAGCAATAAATGACAGCCTGCCCCAGTGTCATTGTTTAACCTCTAGACACAGGGAGAAGCCACCACTGAGGCATTAAACCCAGGCACAAGCCAGGTGTCAGCCCCTCTATGTGCTTGTCCGAGGTTAGATGGAGTTGGGCTTGCTTCCCGATAACAGTGGCTGCAGACATCTTCTACGGGTCAGATGCTGAAACATTCCCTTGGTAGATATTTACAGAGCATCTCCCAAGAATCAGGTGTGGTAGACATTGAGGTTCAAAGGTTAATGAGACAGTTGGGATTCCTGTCATCCCCCAGAGCTCTCGGCTTCGGAGGACAGATGGCGTAGAAGTGCCCAAGAGATGGGCAGTGTGGATGGAAAGAAAGCGGGCTGGGGGTCCTAGAAAGCTGGGTGTGAATCTCAGTGATCTGTTCACTCATTCTTTCACCCAGTATTCGAGGGCCTGCTCTGTGTGTGCCAGGCACTTATTCTAGGTGCTGAGGATACAGGGATGAGCAAGATAGATAAAAAGCCCTCTTCTTTTAGAGGTGACATTCTGCCAGCTCAGAGGTTCACCGGCAAATCTGTGATCTTGGAAAGTCAAGAGGTCTTGCTCAGCCTCAGTCTCGTGACAGAAGAGTGTTGGGTGTATTAAATAGGGCAGTGCACGTGAACCTCTTGCCAGGATGCCTGGCATGAAGGCTGCCCCCAATTAATGGTGGTACGGTAGTGTGCAATGTGACCCATGGTAGGGACCGCCATCCCAAACTTGGGGAGAGTCTGGGAGGGCTTCCTGGGGGAAGAGACTTACAAGGTGAGCCCTAGGGCAGCAATTATAGGGCTGGGACAAGAGTGGAGACCACCCCCCGGCAGATCAGAACTGCCTCTGACCCTCTTGTCTGCCCCTGCAGGTCTCCTTCCCATGGATGAGTGGTTCGGTACCTTGGCCAAGACCACAGCCACCTCGAGCCACACAGCAGTCGAAACAGTCACCCTCACCACCACAGATGCCCTTCCGCCCAGGCATCTGGCCACCACCAGTGCAGAGGAGCTGGTCCCAGGGGTTTCCCAGACCCACCATGGTCCCGCCTGCCTCCCACAAGCGGCCTGTGAGTGCTGGTGGGAAGATGTTCTCCTTTGTAGTGGATGGCACTCACAGGCCTCCCATCATCAAGCAAGGTATTCATGCGTGCTTCCCCTGGTGGCTTTGGGGATGGGCTTAGAGCCACAAGAGTGGGTCTTGATTTTTGCTTATTTTCTCCAATTCTAAAAGTAGAATGCATTTAATTGTGAGGAAATCGGGGTTAGGGTTGCCTGGGTGGTTCCGTCGGTTGAGCTCTCAGCTCAGGTCTTGATCTCAGGGTGGTGGGTTCAAGCCCCACGTGGCAAAAGTCCAGGGTGGAGCCTACTTAAAAAAAAAAAATCAGGGATAAAGAGAACGTAAGAAAATAGTTAAAGACCATTTGTCACCCTCATCACCCAATATCCCCTGTTGACTTTTTGGGGCATATCCCTTCAGACTTCGTGCTCTGCACATTGGCACCCATCAGTGTCCCTGTGGCGAGTGTGTGGATGTGGGTGTGTGTCAGTGTGTGTGTGTGCTTATATATGAATGTGTAGCAGGACTGTAAACTTACAGCTTTGACTCACATGTGCAGAAATATTGGCACCTGAAATCCCCCTTGGCCACAACAGCCTTAGGAGGTTTTTAAATATTTTATTATCATTTTACAGGTGAGAGGAGGCTGAGGCTTATGGAGGAAAATTACCTCCCAGATGTGACATAATCAATGTAGTCCAATCTAACATTTTTCGGTCACATTTAAGGCTGGTTATCTCAGTCACTGTCGCTGTCACTCACTCACAGCCCGGTCACCCTGGGGACCAGCCTTCCTGGTTTCCTTCCTTCACCTCCTTCCCCGGAGGGTCTCGTGGCATTTGGGGAGGGGACTTCCTGTCTGTCGCTGTCCTCCTGGCCTCACCAGCAGGTTTGATTTAGTCCCTGGCATGATTCCGGTTTCCTCCATGCCTGTGATGTGAAGATCCCGTTCTCTGTCCTCTGCATCCAGCCCCAGACCCCTTGGAGTTCCCCAGGTGTCTCTGTGGCTTCACATCCTCCACTGGTGTCACTCAGAACTGTTTACCTAATCACCTCCCTCAGCCATTGTTGTGAAATGTACAAACAGAGGAGTAAATGGAATGCAGTTATATCATCTTCATCATCAGAGGAACCCTTAGGTGCCATCAACAGCAAATGAAACTACTCAGCCATTTCCCCCCTGTATTTTATAAATATGAAAATTTTCAGACACAGCAAAGTAAAAAGAATTTGACAGAGAACATCCTACCTAACTGCATCATTAACATTTTGCTGTATTCGGGGCACCTGGGTGGCTCAGTCATTAAGCACCTGCCTTCGGCTCATTTCATGATCCAAGGGTCATGGGATCGAGCCCCACATTGGGCACCCTGCTCGGCGGGAAGCCTGCTTCTCCCTCTCCCGCTCCCCCTGCTTGTGTTCCCTCTTTGGCTGCCTCTATCTCTGTCAAATAAATAAATAAAATAGTTTTAAAAAACCATCTTGCTATACTCTATTGCATATCTGTCTAACCAGCCTTCTACCCATTCATTAACCCATCTTATTTTTTTGATATGTTTCAAAATAAATTGCACACATCTGTAGTCCTCCCCCTTAATATGTTAATATATGTAACAGTAACCACAGTTCAACAGTTTTTGTCTTTTTGATGTAAAATTAACATGCAACATATATAAGTTATCAATTGCTGCATAACAAATTCTCCCAAAATTTAGTGGCCTAAAGCAAACACACACACACACACACACACACACACACAAAAAAAACCCCAAACATGTATTATCTGATACAGTTTCGGTGGGTCAGGAATTTGGGAGCAGCTTAGCAGGGTGGCTCAGGGTCACTTATAAGTTGCAGGTAAGCTGTTGGCCAGGACTGCAGTCTTCTGAAGGCTTGACGGGGGCTGGAGAATCTGCTTCCAAGATGGTGCGCTCACGTGGCTGTTGGCAGGAGGCCCCACGTCCTCACCATAGGGACCTATCCAGAGAGTTGCTGGAGAATCCTCATGGAATAGCAGATGGCTCTTCCTGAGCAAGTGATCCAAGAAAGCAAGATGGAAACTAGAGCATCTCTTAGGACAAGCCTCTGAAGCTACTCTGTCATTACACAAGTCAGCTCTGTCCAGGTTGGGAGAAGACAGCCCATGGACCTGAACACCAGGAGGCAAGTGTTATTGGCAGCCCTATCTTAGAGGCTGGCTACCACAGTCTGCCTTTTGGTCCTCAAGGATTCACCCCCCGCCTCACTTGTACCACTCCCTCACCCTCTCCCAAGTTCCCCCAAAGTCTGACCCCATTCCAGCATCAGCCTAAATTCCAGAATCTAATCATCTAAATCAAGTCCAGGTACAGATGGGGTTCACTAGGTGTAGTTCCTTAAGTTCAGCTTCTCAAGTACCATTTCCAGCAATCTGAAGACCTTTGAACTAAAGAGACGGGTCATCAGTCCCTCACACACCCCACATACCCTGGTGGGACAGACATAGCATACTGCTGTGGACACGCCTTCTGTTCAAAAGGGAAAAACAAACGCACAGGAGTCCTTGGCCCAAAGCAATTCTGAAATCCAGCCAGGAAAATGTTGGAAGTTCCCTGATTAAGACTTAGACCTATTCTTGCCCAGAAATGACCCTCCATGGCTCTCGCCTCTGTCCCCTGGTTCCTTGGACCAGCCCTCTGAGTCCTCCTACCTTTTCCATGAAGGGTATCACATGTTTTCAACTGCATAGTTTTATAGTCAGCTACCTGCCTATAGATGTGTGGGGTTCATTGGCTTCTTTTGCTTTTGTGGGTCTCTGCCTTCCTCATTCCACATCGGTAGTGTTCCTTATTGGGGTTCACCCTACTAGGCAAAAGCCATGCCCACATATTCCTTTGACACAAGCCCTCCTCTGCCCTGGGCTTCTGCCAAGAGTGGGAGGGACGACACTTCTTAGAAGCCCCAGGCTTTGCCCAGATCATTCTCTGAGACACTGGCTCAGATTGTTCTGCATTCTTGACAAAGGATATTACAGTCTTACACTCAGCTTCATCTTTGGAGAATGTTTTCCTGAGAGTGCCCTGGATTTGACCTTTGCCCAGAACCTATGTCTTGCATTTCTTTTGCCATGTGGAGAGGCAGGGGATCTTCAAGGCCAATTGAGTCCCAGCTCCTTGTGGTTCAACAGTCCTTCCGTTAGCTTCTGTCCCCTCCCGCATTCACAGTAAGTGCCAGAAGGGAGTCAGGTGGTACTCTGCTTGGGCTCCATCACCCAGTTCGTTAGGAACATTTTCTACTTTCCACATCACCACAGGCAATGTGTTACAAGACTTCCTGCCACCACATCACAGGGATCCTTATAAGAAGAGAAAGACAGACAGACAGACTGACCAGGGATGCCTACACATGGAGGAAAGGCCATGTGAAGATGCAGAAAGAAAGGAGCCATCTACAAGCCACGAAGAGAGGCCTCAGGAGAAACCAACCCTGGTGGCATCTTGATCTTGGACCCCTAGCCTCCAGGCTGTAAGGAATATCATTCCATTGCTTAAGCTGCTCCAGTCTATGGTATTTCATCATGGCCGCTGAGTTGACCATTGCAAAGTCCATCCACTGTTGGAGAGGACAATCCAAGGGTGTGAATACCAGGAGATATGAACCATTGGTGCCATCTTGGAGGCTGGCCACCACACAGTGAAAGGCACGCAGTCCAAATCCTAAAGACACAATGCAGGTACACACATGCTGTCCCTGGTGAGAACTGATAATTATCTGATAAGTTCCAGGAGAGCCAGACAGTTGTTAAAATAGTGAGGCAACTTCTCTCATTTGGCAAATAGTTGTACCTTGAAACTTCTTTTTTTTTTTATTTTTTTTTTTAAGGATTTTATTTATTTATTTGAGAGAGAGAGAATGAGAGATAGCATGAGAGGGAGGAGAGTCAGAGGGAGAAGCAGACTCCCTGCTGAGCAGGGAGCCCGATGTGGGACTCGATCCCGGGACTCCAGGATCATGACCTGAGCCGAAGGCAGTCGCTTAACCAACTGAGCCACCCAGGCGCCCTGTACCTTGAAACTTCTTAAAGCACCTCTGTCTCCCACCCCTGCCACCCGCTGCCCCAGGCATCCCATCCCTCCCTCGGGGTTCTCCCCACTGGGACCGCCAAATGATCCAGCAGCTAGAGGGTTTATCTTGAACTGAGTTAAGCCAGTTTGGTCACACATGGCCCTTGGGTTCTCTTTGAAATGTAACAGGAGCCAGTAAAGACGTTTGGGGCCGGTGGGGGAAACTGCTCCAGCACCTCCCTGCCTGGGTATAAGGAAAGCGAGTCTCAGATAAATTCTACCCCCATGCAGACTTCCAGTAAACATGCCTTCAATAGCAAAGGGGTCCCAAGCCTCATTCAGCCTGTCCTGTAGGTTTGATCAAGCCCAGGCTCTCTGTCCTTTAAGGGCTCCAGCTGTCACCTGGTAGAAAGGGCTCACTCACGGCAGCCAGGACAAGGTCACGGGGGCATCTGGAGTTACTCCCAGAGATGGCATCAGATGGCAGAGATCCAAACCAAGACTGGACACAGGTCCCTCCTGGGGAGCACAAGGGAGGGGCTCCCCAGTACTTCGGCTGACCCTCAGGCAGTTCCTTCCTCCGTCTGACCACTGGGAGCCTGTTTCTAACAAAGAGCATACAAGGTCATGGGCCACCAATTTTACCAATAAAAACCCATCTCTGGCCTTCAGTTTGCTAATTAGGAAAGCCTCAGGTGTCAGAGCTGTCTCTGGACTGTGGCCTGTCCATGTAATGCCGCCCAGCCACCCCAGGCGTGGGGACTCCTGATTAGGGCAACTGACTGCCCCTAGGTTGAAAGGTAAACAAATTGCACATACAGAGCATCAAATAGACTCTGCCGAATATTGAAAAAATAAGCCACAGGCCTTGGGACAGCCACTAACGTGCCCCAGCGGCCTCCAGAACTCGGCTGGATGTTATAATCAAAGCCCGAGCCATAGAATTATTATTTTTTAAAAATCTCACTTCTCCCATATTCCTTTAAAAAAAAAAATCCAGTTGTAGATGTTGGCAGGAAAGGAGATACCAAGTAAAGAAGGAGAACAAAAGGGGGAGTGTTCCAGGCATGTGCTTTCTGATGGGGTAGCCGCCAGCCACACAGGGGCTGAGCGAAGGCGGCTCACGGGGCAGAGGGACAAAATGTTTAATTTGCATTAAGTTAAATTTCAAAACCGATACCTGATTCAGTTATTGGAAGGTTTAAAGTACGCCCAGAACATCTTGAGTATGCAAATCTGCTTCTTCCCAACAGTAAGTTTTGGTGAAGCCCAAACACAGATCAAGTCTTCCTGTTGAAAATGCAGCTTCCAAATTGAGGGGCGTTAGAAGTATAAAAGGAACCCTGGATTTCAAAGACTTGGTGCCCAAGAGAAAAAGAATGTAAAACACCTCCATCGTTTTTGGTCTTGATTACGTGTGGAAATGGTGATGTTTTAATGTACTGGGTTAAATAAAATACATTTCAGAATCAGTTTCATCTTTTTACCTTTTTAATGTGACTAGTGCTAGAGGAGTTTAAATTCTCTTATGTAGCTCCCATCAGTTTCCTGTAAGACAGCGCTGCTCAGTGACATTCCCCAGGAAGCCCTTCTCTTGCCCCTTACTCTGTTCCGCACTGGCCCTTCCCCCCACACTTAGCGGCAGCCACCTTCCAGAATTCCTGGGGAGGAAGCAGGAAGAGTACTCCACAGAGAGAGGGAGCCGCCATCTTGGTGCTTTGGGCCCCGGGCGTGCTCCCCACATGCAGAATACTGACAGAACATGGGAGGCCCATGCTCAGGGGTGGTGAGAGCACACCTGTGTCCAAGCTTTGAGGCCAGCACACCCAGCAGGACTTCTTCCCTAAGCCTTTTCTGTCCATAGCGCTGTTGGCCTCCAGCATGGACACAGAAAACCAAGTGGGTGTGTAGGTGGGTAAGTAGGGAGCTTTCTTTTCTCGACTATTTCTAGGGAGACCAACTGGTCCTGGTTTGCCTGGGTCTTTGCCAGCTTTGGTACGGAAAGTCCCCCCTCCCAGGAAGCCCCGCAGTGCCTGGCAAACCAGGACAGTTGGTCACTTTACCGGTTTCATCAGGCAGTGGCTGAAACTCCATCGAGTGAATCCCAAATCCAGTCCTTGGCAATCAACAGGAAGGGAGACAGTCCATGGGACACAGTCCATGCAAAACTGGTCCTCGTTGCCGTGTTTGTCACAGTGAACCAGCTCCTAAATTCCTCACTCACAGCCTCACTCACGTGTTCACCACCGGGGAGGACCTCCTACCTGCGGGTGTGTGTGCCGGTTCTGGAGCCAAACCGACTGGGTCAGACCTGACTGCCCCTTACCAGATGCGTGGCCTCCGTCTCTCTGCACCTGGGCTTCTCAACGTGGCTGTAATAGCACCTGCCTCACAGCGGACTTTGTGAGCCCCGGCATTGACTTACAGAAGGCACTGGTGGCCAGCAAGCCTTTCGTGAGTTATTGGTTAAGAGTGGGCCAGGCCCGGAGCTTTTCGTTCTTAGACAATACTCCTGAGCACCTTTCCCTTTCCATGAGCGCATCACAGAAGGGAGACAGGTGAGGGCTTGGCCTCTTTCCAGCTCTGTGAGCTTGGGCAGAGGTTTTCTCTCTCTGTGCCCGTTTACACATCTGTCAGATGGGATTAGCCAATTCATTTTAAGGGGCACAAACTGAGACATGGTCCCCAATCTCACAGAACTTACCCTTCAGTCAGGGAGACCGACATTAACAAAAGGATCACAGAACAACATCTATAAAATGGTAACCATAACACTCGGCAGCAGAGATGCCCAGTACCCATCGGCTCGTGACTATAAGGCCCCGACTTAGTTGGGGGATCAGGAAGGTGTCCCCGAGGGAGTGACACTCAAGCCAAGCACTGAAAGGCAAGTGACCTTCACAAAGTGCAGAGGGGAGGGAACAGGTGGAAGGGACAGTGAGTGGCAAGGGTGGGTGGTGGGTAGGACGGGTGGGAGACGTTGGGCAGCGTGGCTGAAGAGTGCGCTCCCGGAGGAACGTGGCCTGAGACCCTGTAAAAAGACCCTATAAAAAGAGGGAAGTGATGGCAGGTGTTAGCCAGGGAGGGGATGTGACCCAAGGTCCAGCTACACCAGGAGGCCTATTCCAGCCTGTTCTGGTGCAGATGCAGAGAATCTGGTGGTTGGGAGCCCAGGCCCCTTCCCTTCCATGTGCCCAGGAAACACTTTGGCTGAGGCCACTCATCCAACACGCAAGGCCACACATTCGCCAGGCACCACAGGCCTTTGACCATGTCCACTCGTGCTTCTAGGGTCCACAAACACAGTCGAGACCTGGGGGAGAAAATCTCTGGCTCTGAAATGCATAAATAAAAAATGCGGAATCAAGGGGAATAAATGATTGAGTAAATGTCCACAAATGTGACGGTGTGTACTTCATTAATTGTTAATGTTAACATTCATTAATGTTTCATAGCCTTCGAAAACAATTGGTTCAATTTCTCACTTCACAAGAAGACAAGAATGTGCAATGATTGCCCAGAAATCAGTCAGTTGGAAATTTAAAACATGCCGCTTAGAGCCAAATGATCTCAAAAACAGAAATATAGAAATCTTTTCAAAAGTTTGTACACCCCCCCAAAAAAATGTATTCAGTGTTAAATGTGAGTGGATCGTAGTGTGTTTGATGTGATACAGAGTGAGACCTCCAAACATAATGATACCAGGACTCCTGAAAGTCATGAACAACCCTTGTAATACTGTGGGGAAATAAGCAAAAAAAAAAAAAAAAAAAAATCAGGAAATCCTGAATGTCTATCAAGCGGATCCGAGTTAAATATGTTTGGCACATTTGTACGATGGACTGCAACACTACCATTAAAAAAAAATACAGCATAGGGGTGCCTGGCTGGCTCAGTCAGTGGAGCCTGCAATTCTTGATCTCAGGGTCATGGGTTTGAGCCCTAAGCTGTGTGCAGAGATTGCTTAAAAATAAAATCTTGGGGCACCTGGGTGGCTCAGTCGGTTGAGCACCTGCCTTCGGCTCAGGTCATAACCCCGGGGTCCTGGGATCCAGCCTCCCATGGGGCTCCCTGCTCAGCGGGAAGCCTGCTTCTCCCTCTGCCTCTCCCCCTGCCTCCCCCAGTTTGTGCTCGCTCTCTCTTGCTCTCGATCTTTCAAATAAATAACTAAAATCTTTTAAAAAAATAAAAATAAAATCTTAAAAAAAACAGAACACAGTATAAATAATGAAGGGGATTAAAAGGTACAAACTTCTAGTTATAGAAAAAAAAAACACACACACCATAGCATATAGCTACAAATATTGACATAGGAAGATGTTTCTGATATATTGTCAAGTGGAAAGGCAAGCCGGGGAAAAAATCTCTGCAATAGAAATCCACTTTTGTTTTTTTTAAGATATAATTGCAATAAAAATCGCTAACATTTCATGTTTAATGTTAATATAGTGCTCAGGGGTAGGAAACTTCTGTAAAGAGAAGCTTTTTCTGCAAATATTTTAGGCTCTGTGGGCTATATGGTCTCTGTCACAGCTACTCAACCCAGCCTTTGTAGCTGGAAAGCAGCCATAGACAATAGGCAAATGAATGACTGTGGATGTGTTTCAATAAAACTTTATTTACAAAAACAGTTGGGAGGCCAGATTTGTCCCTAGTGCCATAGTTTGCCAACCCCTGCTCTACTACTTCATTTAATCCTCAAAGTGTCCTTTATAACAGAGACTGTAACATGTAAGTCATATAACCAAGGCTTAGAGAGTAAATGACCTGCCCAAGGTCACCAGCTCTTACATGGAATAGCAAAAAGCCTAGAAAGGGGCACACCAAAGCGAATCAGCACGGCTAACCCTGGAGAAGAGGGAGGAGGCAGTTCTTTCCCTTTCTGATACTTCTGTAATGCCTTCTGCATCGCTTTGCCATGAACGTAGACACCGCTTTACCATTTTTAATGACAGCAGGAAAAGAATTAAGAAGGTGGTCTAAAAAGATCCTTCTAGACCTCAGGGTCACTCACAATGTCCTGTGTGCTCTCTGTTGATCTTGGCGTTAGTGTGGACCAATGCTGTGGAGCTGTCGGAACAGTCAGTGGTCGAAGGAATTTCCGGGGCAGGACCTTCCAGGGATATTTATGTGGACCAGGACCCAGCCCAGCAGGATAAGGTGAGGCGTCTACAGCAGCAAGAGAGACTGCAGAGGGATTGTCTCTTGTTCTCTGTGGTCCTTTTTTTTACTACTTCCAAGAAACCACCTTTTACTCCCGGGACATTCAACCAAAGGTTTGGTAACTGCTCATTTTATCCCAAATAACAACATCTACAAGCACAAAGTATTGAGTACCTACTGTGTGCTGGACTGTGTCCTGGGCCCTTGGCATTCAGTTAGCTCAGTAATCTTCACCATCCTCAAAATAAATGTTACCCCCCTCACTTTACAGAGGAGGGAGCCGAAGCTCAGAGAGGTTCAGTAACTGGCCCAAGGTTGCACAGCGTGAGGGGCAAAGCTGGGATTCAAAGCTAAGCCTGGTTAATTTGCAAGCTGGTGCTCCTGGCTCCCACACAGTAACTGCTTGGTCGACCATGAGCGGCAGCACAGTGGTGGGGAAAACACGTTTCCTGGCAGGAAGTAGTGAGCAATGAAGTTGACGACTGAGGGAAGACAGAGGTTTGTTGAAGAACCAGAGAGGTTTAGAATGAAATGGGAATGGGAGCCAGAGCAGGTGAATTCAAGCCATGCTGGGAAGGGTCCAGGTTGATTTCTCCCTACATAGACACAACCTGAAATTATCCTAAAAGAAGCAGTCCTGCGATACCTTACCTTCCTTAAAGACCGGGGCCTGAGCCTGCAGCAATTCCCTGAGTCTGTGAGGAGCAGAACCACGTGGGGTCCAGACTGGGAGTGGGAATCTGCGACTTCAGGTGGCAGGTGTCCCAGGACCAAACCTTGGAGAAGTACTGCAGTGAGGCGAGAAGCCAGGCTCAGACGCTGTTATCAGTTTTCTCTTGCTGTGCACAAGCCACCCCAAAACTTAGTGGCTTAAAATGGCAATTTATTGGGCACCTGGCTGACTCAGTCAGTAGAGCATGTGACTCTTGATCTCAGGGTCATGAGTTCAAGCCCCATGTGGGGTGTGAAGCCTACTCAAAAACAAAAAAACAGCAATTTATTACTTCCCAGAATCTACAGGTTGACCTGGAATGTTCTTCTGCTGGTGTCCCCTGGCTTCGCTCATGCAACTGTATAGTCAACCAGTGGCGTGGCCCAGCCAGTGGTCTCGGATGGCCTCATTCCCATGTCTGGGACCTCAGCTCAGCCAGCATGCCTGGAGTGATAGGCCTCTCTTCACACATGGTTTATCGTCTGGGGCTGCTTCACAGCATAGTGGCCCCAGGCTTCCCAGAGGGCCAGAACAGAAGCCGTATAGCCTTTTAGAAACTTGCCTGGAGATTGCTGCACATCACTTCTGCCTTATTTTATTGGTCAAAGCAAGACACAGGACCGGCCCCGACTTAGGGAATGGGGAAGTCAATTCTGCTTGATGGCAGAAGCTGCAAAGCATTTGTGGTCATTTTTCAATCCACCCCAGTTTTAAACTGGAAATAGGATGCAACCACATTTATAATTTTTTTTTCTATTTATAAGCCATTTATGCCCTGACTTTCCAGGACTCCTTCAAATGCAAGTGCCAATAAACAAATTAGCTTAAGCAAAAAAAAAAGCTTAAGCAAAAAAAAAGCATTTATTGGCTCATCTTCTTGGAAATTTAGAAGCCCACTAGCTTCAGGCATGGCCAGATACAGGAGCTTAAGTGAGATCAAAACACTCCCTACCACCAATCTCTTCCCTCTATTTCCCTCGGATTTTGGCTTTCTATAGCACACAGGCTTCCACGTGTTGGAAAAGACAAACTCAGGTACATAAGCCCATAAATTTAAAGTTTGTGCTCCAAAAGGAGGCATGATCCTCTCCCTCTGTGATAGATGCGCGAAATCTCTGAGAAAACCCTGATTGACCAGCTTGGGTCACGTGCACACGGGGAGGCGGGACAGGAAGGAGCAGGGCACATGATTGACAGTCCTACCAAGACCACATGGAAGGGGGAGAACTCTCTCAAGGAAGCGCTTGGGGTCCTCACAGAAAGGCTTAAACTCCATCTCTACAGCACACCTTACAGCCTTCTTTATACTCCAGAGCCCAGCACAGGGCCTGGCACATAGTAGCTGCTCAATAAATGTTTATTGCGCAACTAGATACTAAGCACCTGGCTGACCCTAACTGGTTGAAACAGGCATGGCTGCCCAGGAGTATGGAATCTGTTTGATGCTATCCCTTTTACTTTGCCACAAGCATTTGCAGGGATTCAAAGAAAGACCCTTGGCAGCAATTGGCAATGCCAGAGAAGCTTCCTCACGACAGGAACCCTGTCCTTCCATGGGTTGGGGAGCTGGAAGGTCTTGAGGCTGATTGGGTAAAGCTCCCCAGGAAACGAGTTGGCCTACAAATTACTCATTTACCGCCTTCCAACCAGTGGGAAATGGTTGGAAGAGCAGGGACTACTTTAAAAGCAGAAATTCTGTAGCTACGTTTGCAAATACATCTGGGGACTTGTTTTTCAGTTTTTTTGGACATTTTATTGATGACTTCTGGTGAAAAGTTTGGGGAATTTTTTTTTTCTTTTTGGTGGGGAAGCCTAACAAATTCTTTGGCTGTAGAGCTCTTTCTTTTGGAGAAATGGAGAACTGGGTTAATTATACCTGTGGGTAAAGTCAGCCAGCAATATTTTTTCCCTGACCCAAAGTTGATGAGCCCACACGAATAAATCACCAGTCTTTTTTTTTAATTTTTTTGTTATGTTAATCACCATACATTACATCATTAGTTCTTGATGTAGTGTTCCATGATTCATTGTTTGTGCATAACACCCAGTGCTCCACGCAGAATGTGCCCTCTTTAATACCCATCACCAGGCTAACCCATCCCCCCACCCCCCCTCCCCTCTAGAACCCTCAGTTTGTTTTTCAGAGTCCATCATCTCTCATGGTTCGTCTCCCCCTCCTACTTACTCCCCTTCATTCTTCCCCTCCTGCTAGCTTCTTCTTTTTCTTTTTTCTTAACATATGTTGCATTATTTGTTTCAGAAGTCCAGATCTGAGATTCAACAGTCTTGCACAATTCACAGCGCTCACCATAGCACATACCATCCCCACTGTCTATCACCCAGCCACCCCATCCCTCCCACCCCCCACCACTCCAGCAACCCTCAGTTTGTTTCCTGAGATTAAGAATTCCTCATATCAGTGAGGTCATATGATACATGTCTTTCTCTGATTGACTTATTTCACTCAGCATAACACCCTCCAGTTCCATCCACGTCGTTGCAAATGGCAAGATCTCATTCCTTTTGATGGCTGCATAATATTCCATTGTGTATATATACCACATCTTCTTTATCCGTTCATCTGTCGATGGACATCTTGGCTCTTTCCACAGTTTGGCTATTGTGGACTTTGCTGCTATAAACATTGGGGTGCACGTACCCCTTCGGATCCCTACATTTGTATCTTTGTGGTAAATACCCAGTAGTGCATAAATCACCACTCTTACCTCATTTACTTACAGACTCAGTTACCTGGAGTAAATTTTTACGTGAATAACACAAAGAGGCAGGAAGTACCAGAAGGGAGGAAAGGGAAAAGAAATATTTCAGAATGTATTGACTTTTTTAAGTTAAAGAATAGTCCTCATTAGACGCAGGATGTGGTCAAATAGAATGTCGTTTTCCTAACTACCTTTCCTGGGTCCCCACTGGGCTAGGCTGAATATTATAAACAAAAATATTATAAATAGGGTGCCTGGGTGGCTCAGTTGGTTAGGCGACTGCCTTCGGCTCAGGTCATGATCCTGGAGTCCCGGGATTGAGTCCCGCATCGGGCTCCCTGCTCGGCAGGGAGTCTGCTTCTCCCTTTGACCCTATCCCCTCTCATGTGCTCTCTCTCTCATTCTCTCTCTCAAATAAATAAATAAAATCTTTAAAAATATATATTATAAATAAACTCCCTAGCAACAAAAGTTCCCACGTGGGGTGGTTGTTCTCAACATGAAAGTATAATTTCACGGGAAAGGAACTTTTCTGTGAAGTATAAACACGTATTACAGGAGTCTATATACAAGTATATCATTTTCGCCAAACTCTTGTCTCTATGAGGTTTTCCAAGTGACGGAGATAACCTTGAAATTACGTTTTTTCCCCTCCCCACCTGTCCTCACCCTCCCCAAAGAATCACACCCCGTTTTCCCTACATTTTTAAAAATGGGCTCAGCCTTGCGCCCCGGACCCACACCTACTAAACTCCCCATCTGGCCTCCACCCAGGATGAAATCATTCTGCTGCTGGGGAAAGAAATCAGCCGTCTCTCGGATTTTGAACTTGAATCCAAATACAAAGACGCCGTGATAGCGAAGCTGCAGGATGAGGTGGCCAGCCTGAGTCAGAGGCTTTCGGAGTCCGCCTCGTCCAGGCAGAGTCGGTTCCAGGATCTGGATGAGGACATCGATGCCAAACGCAGAGAGATCCAGAGCTTGAAAAACCAGGTAGGTAGGACTCGGAGACACATTGATGGAGGCCTTAGAGTCAGGACACAGGGCGACAGCTGTCGGGGAGAGCCAGGGAAGCATGGAGGGGAGTCACCCAGATGGAAAGAAAAGGGATGGTCAGCGCAGTGCTGTGGGTATGAGCACACATCCCAGGAACTGGGGGCGTGGCAGGCTCCTAGCCCAGGAGAACCACGTTCACTTTTGTTAAGCACCTACAGGGAGCAAGCTCTGGTGTAAGTGCTATAGATGCATTGGCTCACTTAAACCACACGGTCCTCTGACATGTACCATTCTACAGAAGAGGAGACTGAGGCAGGCTTGGGGACGCCCAGGAACTTGTTCAGTTCACACAGCAAGTTAGAGGGGGCGGTGCAAGTTGAACGCAGGTCTGCCTCCTTGCAGACCCTATGCTTTCACCCCACCTACCCAGCTCCATCGCTTCAGTGACTGTCTCTCACCCCCACCCCAGGCCCAGCCAGAAAGAGCTGTAGGTAGTCAGCTGGAGAGGGGGAGAAGGGATCCCCTGTTTTCCAAACCCAATCCCGAAGGCAGTTGCTGGCTCACTTGCAGGGAACTTCCTCAAACAAAAATTCTCCATGCAGAATTTCTACATTATCCTTGAGACTAACTAGATCCAAAAAAAATTTTTCCTCAGCTACTTTAAAATTGGCTATTGATCTTGTACATAAATTACATGTCAACAAAGTTGATTTAAAACAACAACAACAACAAATTGGCCACTGATGAATTGTGGCCTCGGTGTATACTGTTGCTTAAACCTGTAGACTCCCTATGCTTGGGGCCTCTATTCTCTGTTTTCCTGTTCACTGCCTTTCCCCTCCTCTAAGCAACTCAAGGTGCGTGGCCTCGATCCGAGAAATGGTGCCCCAGGAAAGGACTCAGGTTGTGCATGGTGAACCTAGGAGATTCTACCAGGAGACCGTGAGAGCAAAGAGTGGGCCCAGCTACTTTCTAAAACACTGATAGGACCGTGTCCATTCATTTGTTCAGTCATTCATTCAAGTAAGGTTATTGGGTGCCCATCTTGGGCCATGCTCTCTTCTGGGCTCTGGGAATTCAGCAGAGAACAAGGCAGGTATGATTTTTGCCTTCTCCCTTTATGTTCCAATGAGGGAGACAGAATTAATAAGTAAACAAATATATGCTCTCATATTCAAATGAAAAAATGACTCTCTGTCGGACGTGTTTTGGGAAAAACAATGGAAGTAGTAGATCCTATAGGAATTACTACTTGACAGCTACCTTGACAGGAAACTGACTCCTTGACGGGCATCTTGTTCTTGATCTGAACCCAATTTTGCCATTGGACAGGGTAGTATCTCTTCCGGCTATTCTCCCATCTCAGAGCTTTCCTGAGTATAAGTGGCGTGTCTTGTCCAGGTCCGCGGACAAGGGTGAATAATTCCCACATAATCTTTTTTAGTCAAATATATTTGACATGAAACGTGTAATCCTCACGTATCTTTGAGCATCTGTAGGTCACAATTCGAGTCTTGTTTAAAGTGGCTAGTGATATCTGGGGGGGAAATGTTCACAAAGAAAGTATCTAGAAATACACTGATTCATCATACTGTCGCCACCCCCCACCCCTGGATCTTCACTTGTAACTGAAAGAGAGTATTTTGTAACAAGGCATATCTGAACTGGAAGCTGCCATTGGTCTGAACCCAAATCTATCCGCTCACATTGTAGTTTTTTAAATATTCTACCGCCTGCAGAACATTCAGCCAGAAGTATAAGCCACGTGGCTGGTTGATTTATTGTTCTGATTACTTTATAATCATCAGGTCCCCCTGAAAGTGTGTGCATCTGGAGGGGCTCTCAAAGGTCTTCCATCCACTACAGTATCACTGGGAAGTGCTTGCCCCTGCCTGTTCTTGAACACCTGTGCTAATTAACAGCCGAATTATTTTCTCGAAGCCATCCTCCTAACACTGTCAGCTTTCTTAAGACTCGGTGCCCATCTTATTACCCAGGATAGCAGACATGCAACTTCTTGGGATACGTGCCCATTAGAGACAGTATGGATATTTATTTGGGTGGGGAAGGAAACAGAGAGGTTTGAAGACTGTTTGGAGTTTCCTTGTAATCTGAAATCCTAAGACCCTGGTGCCTAGATTGAATTATCTTCTATCTGTCAGAAGCAGAAACACTGGCGTCTTTGGGCAGGCGGGCATATGTCTTCCCATCCCTTCTGGAAGCTTGTCTCTTTGCCCTGTGCCTCTGGTGTCATGCAAATAAACCACGAAGCTGAGAAGAGTTAGAAACACTCTTAAAAATTATCCCAAGTACCTTTTATGGGAAAGTTGCATGTCCCCCGCCGAGAACAGTAAGAGGTGAAAGAAACGTTTTCACTCAAAGTTTCAAAAGCACAAACATGCAAAAGTATAGCCTTGGGGAGGGTGGGGGACAGAGTCATCTGTGTCCCCACCCCCTTCTCCCAGATGCCCCCTTCCCAATGTCTCAGATACCCCAGGGAAAAAGTAAGTGTACCTGCCCCAGCTGTCATAGAATCTGAACAATGATGGTGCGTGAAATGAGCCAGGGAACGTGTGAAACCTTGTTCCTTCTGTTAATTCTCCCAGAGTAAGGATGACAAGGGACATTTTCAGGGACAGACACCAAGAACAAGGACCGTGAGCGCCCTCTGCTGGCAAAGGCCTCTGCGCCCGTACCCGCATTACCTGAGCGCGCCCCACCTGCCTTCGTTCTTTAAGCCACACCTCCAGCAGGGTAAGAGGCTTGACAGGCAGCTGCAGGGTTGACTCGGGGAGCTGCCGCTAACACACACCTGGGTAGTGACACCTGGGTAGTGAGGTCAGAGGACAGTCTCAGCTGCCATCTGTATGCCGTGGGCCAGGCACCATCTGGGTGCTTGTACATACACGAACTTATTAAAATACTTCTCACGTTCCTATCCGATTGGGACTGCCATCACCCCACTTAATGAAACAGTGAGACAGAATCCGGTGTCCTCCCGGTGTGTTCATCAGCCTGTAAGTGGCAGCAACAGAATCTGAAGGCCACAGTCGGGCTCCCAAGTCCACGCTGTGCTTTACAGCCTGCAGCCCGTACTCCTGTGCCTAGAGCCACCCCGCAAGGTGGGAAGAGCGGGAACCGGGCACCTGGAGACTAGCCGAATCGGGACCCCACCTCTGCCGGCCGTGTGATTCTCACGGCCGTGAGACTCGGTCGGCTCGCTTGCAACATGAGAGCGTTAATGGGAACCTTAGCCTCCTGCGATGCGGTGAGGAGCTATGGAGGTAGCATCTGGGAAGGGGCTTTGTGAGCTCTGGAGTGTTCTGAGATATAAGCCACTGTTGTTCTCACTCGAGGAAGTTAATTTTATAACATGCTTCCCTCTCACGAGCTCTGCCCTGCATCCGGTCGGTGCTGGATGATCCGGAACCAACAGCTGGTCTCCTTCTGGCCGAGAGTCCAAAGGTGGTAGGAAGGCACGTTAGGGATCAGCTGTCCCCAGGCAGCTGCACCTGAGCCATTTTGTGGACACAGAGCTAAGGCTCACGTTTTCATTCCGTATGACGTGGTGGTCACTGAAGGAACAGGCTCTCTCCTGTCCCTCCCACTAGTTAAAACTAAAAACTCGGTTTCCCCAACTCCCCACCAAAGATCAATCCAAATCTCTTGTCCAGGCGTGGACAAGCACACCTGGGCCGGCCCCCTCTGACCGTGTGCTGCCTCCTCCCACAGATCAGTGCCCTACAGAAAGGCTACAGCCAGGTGCTGTGCCAGAGCCTGTCTGAGAGGAACTCAGAGATCACATCCCTGAAGAACGAGGGCGAGAACTTGAGGAGGGACAATGCCGTCACCTCAGGTGAGCTCTCTCTGACGTGGGCCTGAGAACCGCTCCCCTCCTCCTAGTTCCCAGGCCACAGCAGACATCACCAATCAACCACCGCACCGCTGCTCACTGATCCAGGGTGCGGCCTCAGAGATCTGAGTGACTTGTGTCTGTGAGTTGCGGCCTGCCCTCAAGAGAGGGTTTTTGCCATCCAGTTCCTAGGACAGGGCCTGATAACGATTTGAGTGAAGGTTATCACTTAGCTATGTCTAGTGAGTGCCAGGCTCACCAGGGAGAACACAGGGCACCGTGTGGCTTGGATGGTTCCAGAAGCCAGCTTGCCTTCAGTGCAAGCTAGAATGTGGACAGAGCAGGGTTACCACGTTAGGGCCCTGGTGCACTTCGGCCCCGGTAGAAACATTTCCTAATTGGGCAGCAGAGGAGGTTGCACACTACAGACTTGGGGGGAGGGTGAGCACATCATCCAGAGGCCAGCTGCTTCTTACCCTGGATCCTTTCATCCATCCCACATGTTTACTGAGCACCTACTAGGTGTCCGGCCCTGCTCTAGGTGCTGGGGAGAGACAGCCCTGAGCACAATGTTTCTGTACTCCTAGGGTTCACGTGTGCAAGTGGGTGACAGACACTAAAAGTAAACAGGTAAATAAACAAGCCCGTTTCAGAGACAAGTGGGCAGTGTGGGAGCGAAGTGCTTCCAGGGCAGAAGTGAAGGGAGAATAGCTTAGTGGGCTGGAAGGGACGGGTCTTTGAAGAGGTGAAAGGGAAGGGCAGTGAGGAAGCCAGAGGGAACAGTGTTCCAGGCAGAGGGATCACAAGTGCAAAGGGCCTGAGGCTGGGGCCAGCTGGCCGCGTGGGAAGAGCTGAAGGCGGGTGTGGCTGGAGTGGGGTGAACGTGGGAGCGGGGTGAACGTGGGAGTGGGGGACGGGCAAGGTCAGAGGGGGATGCAGGGGTAGGTCACAGGGAGGAGTCTGGGTTTTATTCTAAGGGTGATGGGGAGCCACTGGGGTTTTTAGAGAGAAATTACATGCCTGAGAAGGATGGGCCATTAACAGAGAAAGAGGGGAGGGAGTGAAGCAGGTGATGAGGAGCGGGCAGTGAGTCTGGAAGGGGCATATTGCTCTCACAGTACCGGCTACACAGCAGGAAACGTGTCCATAGCTGTGAAAGCCGGGCATAGCGCTGAGCCACAGGTGAATCGCCATCTATCTCTTTACGAATCCGGGTGCCATGCACCAGGACAGCCTGACCACTGGCTTTTCATCCACCTCACTCTGCAACTTCCCACCCTTACCCCTACCACCTGCCAGGCCTGTTCATGCTCTTCCCTAATTTACAATGTCCTCAGATATTTGCTGAGCCCGTCCTGCGGGCCGGGTGCAGCTCCAGACACAGACACCCCGGGCCCTTGTCTTCCTTGCCCACACCGGCCCGTCAGATCTCATCCGTGCTCCAGGCCTGTCTCAGATACCACCTTCTTCACTCAGGGATTGGACAGACGTGCGTTAGGGTAACACTTGGGGTGGGCTGGACCCACTCACGGTGTGGTCCCCAGACCAGCGGCATCAGCCTGCCCTGGGTCCTGGTGAGAACCACAGAGTTTCAGGCCCCAGCCCAGAACCTCCTGAACGGGCATCTGACTTTGCTGAAGTCCCTGGGGTTTCGTACGCACATTCAAGCTCGAGAAACACGGGGCTGGGTTACACTGCAGCTACGGACCCTGAGGCTCAGTGGCTTATAACAGACGGGCTCATGTCTTGCCTCCACCTGGTATCCATCATGGGTTAGCAGGGGCTTTGCTCATCGTGGCCACTCAGGGACCAGGCTGACAGAGGCCATCACAGCGCCTGCTTCCACAAGGAGAGAGGTGGGAGAGACGTACAGGGGCAGATGGAAGGACAGGAACTGGGTTTGCTCTCCTGCCCGAAACAACCAAAAAAAGAAAAAATATATCTGCAATAATTATTTTCACATGACCCTGATTTGGGAGAGAGGAAACAAACCAGTGGGCCCCCACGTTGAGGGGATGGCATTGGAAAGGCCAACACAGCTCTGGGGCGCTGGGCAGCGTGCCAGAGAGGAGAGGCACACAGAGAGGTGATCTCGAGAGGGTGCCCCACCAGCCTTCAGCTGAGTGTTGAGCAGCACATGTAGGTGGGCAGGGAAAGAAAACCCAGCAGGAGCAGAGGGGACCATCTCGAAGCTCACACAGGCCAAGAATGGTTGACTTTCCCAGCCTCCAGAACGGAGCGGCATCATAATACACAGGGTATCTGGTAGAGTCAAAAAAGGTGTTGGTTCAGTCATGAGGCCCAAAGGCCACTAGACTAAAGGTTGCTCCAGGGGCACGTGTTGGGATGCCCACTGGGTGTTACACACAACTAATGAATCGTTGAACACTGCAACAAAAACTTACGATGTACTATATGCTGGCTAAATGAACATAATAAAAACAATTAAAAATAAAATAAAAATCCACATGAATATAAATAAATAAATAAATAAATAAATAAATAAATAAATAAATAAATAGTGTGTTGCTCAGTCCCGCCTCACAAAGCTAGAAGGCAAGTCCCAAAGGGATCAACCTGTTTCAAAGTAACTTAACCGTGTCCTGTGACAGAGCTCATTGTTAAAATGAAATTCTGGATCACATTGTCCTGCATCTCACATACTTTCTTTGATTGACGGCTATCAATGAAATTGGGCATAATGTTCTTCCAAGAAAAGAACCACGTGAGATAATCCAGTCCCACAGCATTTCCGTGTCCTTCTTCCCACGTGTCCTCAATCTGAGAATCCAGTAATGTATTAGTGATCTCCTGCTACCTAACCGGTTATCCCAAAAGTTCGTGGGTAAAACAACAACAACTATTTATTATGTCATCCAGCTTCTGGAGCTCAGGAATATGAGCGTGACTTGGTTCTCAGGGTCTCCCATGAGGGACAGTCAGCACATTGACTGGGGCAACTGTCACCTCATCTAAAGCCGCATCAGGAGCTGGAGGATCTGCTTCCAGAATGGCTCGTCCACGCAGCTGTTAGCCGGACGCCTCCATTCTGAACAATCTGGGCCCCTCCCCTGGCAGCTTGAGCATCCTCACAACATGGTTGTTGGCTTCCGCTGCTGAGTGAGTGATCGAACAGAGAGCGAAAGGAAAGCCGCAATATCTTTTATGACCCACCTGGGAAGTCACGGTCCATCTTTTCCACAAAATCACACTGGTTACACACGTCAGCCCTACTCATGGTGGGAAGGGGCTGTGCCAGGGCAGGAATTCCGGGAGGTTGGTATCACTGAGGCCATTTTACAAGCCAGCTACCACAAAAAATAATAGGTACCCTGTAACTAACGCGATGGGTCAGCCACTCTCCTATATTCTTTATATGTCTTTAACCCTTATAATAATTCCACAGGGTACATACAGTGAAAGATACTTAGAGGGAAAATAACTTGTCCAAGAACACCACACTACTAAGTGGTAGAAACGGGTTCCAAACTCAGGTGAGTGTGAATCCAGCCAACCTGCTCACAGCCTCCTTCTGCCATAAGATTTTTTATGGCCCCTGGTGAAAAATTCCTGGTCCTTCCCCACACCGGCCTTTGTTCCCCAGGCCCATGGCGTGGCCTCTCCTGCCAAACCTGAGCCCACAGGGGCCCCCCAAAGGCTTTTCTTCTCCCAGCAACACTCGCTGACTTCTTGTTCTCACTGAGGTCTTAAATAAACACTGTGCCACGCATTTCAGGGTCATCCCTGTCCCAGCTCCGGGAGCCTGGACACAAGCTCCTCAGCTGCAGGCGAGGACCAGGGGCAACCCAGGCTTGGAAGGGGGTCCCCCACAAGTTGGCCAACAGCTGTGGTGACAGTCATCCTTCCTGCCGCTTTGACCTCTGCGAGTCTTTATTTTTTATTTTTTTTTTACAGGGATGGTGTCATCATTGCAAAAAGAAGTGTTAACAAGGGATGAGGAGATTCAACAACTCAAACAGGAGGTGAACCAACTAAAAAGTGAGAACAAGGGAAAGGATCACCAGCTTGAAGCCCTCAGCTCCAGAGTGAGTTTTGGGATGCCATCATGATCCTCGTAGCAGGCCCCAAAAAGCAGAACAGAGTCCCATGACTCATCGCACGTACCCCAGGCCCCAGCTTTAAATGTCACTCCCATCTCTCCCGCCACCGCGAGGTGGACTGGTGCCCAAGGGCCGGTGTCCGCCAGGAGGCCCAAAACACCAAAGCCCCACCTGGAAAGACGAAAGGCAGGGGCCAGGTTCTCTGCAAGGTAAAGAGCTTTTTAAATGTAACTTTGACTCTGCAAAGGATGCCTTGAACCCTGACTTTAGAATCCTGATCCTGTAGAGGAAGGTTTCTCAGGATGCACGTGCTTTGTGTGTTTCAGTGAGTCCAGGTAAAACCCAGTAGCTGTCATCTCGGCCGGCAGCTTAGAGATTCCAGAGGCTGCCTAATCAGGTAGCTCAGTCTGCAGGGAGGGGGGACGGGGCTGGAGAGACCTCAGAGTTCCAAAGAAAAGGCACAAGAAGTAACGTCGGGTGCTTGACATGATACTTAGTTTGGAACTGAGAAAAGGCAGAGCATGAGCTTTGGGGTTGGACAGACCAGGATCCAATCCCAGAGCTTTCTTTTCTTGTAACTTATTTGGCCTCTGTCTCCACATCTGTGAAATGGGGATAACAAAACCATTTTTCTGAGAAGTGAGAGGCTGATTTCAGTTGTGCTCTTCCACCTCTGCACCTGGTCAGCTGCCTGGCCGAGCCCCGTCCATGCATTCATTTCTCCCAGGCAATTGACTCCCTAGATGCACACAGTATTACTGCTTTATGTGGGGTGCGTGAGTGTGTGCGTGCATGTTGGGGAGGGGAGAGGGTTGCAGAGCTGATGCTAAGTGGAAGAGATGTGGAAAAACAGCCCCGTTTTGACTGTTCTACTTCTTAAAGTACATTTGGATTCTTTTTCTCCCCATTTCCTCTTCCTCATTGACCTTGTATTCCTCCTCTGCTAGCCTGTGCCATCCATTAGCACATAGGGGTCCTGCCCCCAAGGGTTTGGCTCTGGGGAGCATGTGGGAGACTTATCTTTTGTTTTTCTAATTCCCTTTGTCATGCGTGTGAATTTTAGGAAAATAAAAGTAGATGATACTGAGAAGCAAAACTAGAGAGATAAGAAAGAAAATGCTACCCTAGAAATCCACACTAATATTTTAATGTATGTTCTTCCAATCTTGTTTCTATATACAATAAATAGATAAATATTTTAACATATATACACATTTTTTAAATTTTAAATACTTACTATTTTCCCATATTAATAAATAAAAGCTCATATCATCAGTCCTAAAAGCTATAGAATATTTTTCTGGACGTACACAATGTAATAAAACGGTCTGTTGTTGGACACGGTTGTTTCTTTTTTTCTTTCTTTGTTTTTTTCCTGTTGCTAACAATACTGTGAAGAACATCCCTGAACCTACAGGTTTGCTGATTTCTCTAATCATCATCCTTGAGAGACAATACTAAAGTGGGAATTTCTGGGTCAAAAGAAGGCACATCTTTCTGTTCTTAATGCGTGTTGCCAAACTGCCCTCCAGGAGGGCTGTTTCACTTACATTTCCATGGCCAGGCAGCTGTGTTTTGAGATGTAACTTGCAGAAAGCACTGAGAGCCATCCAAGTTCACTAGCGAGACCCTCCTGGTATTCCTGCAGGCTGTCTTGGCTGGTCACAGAGGAAAACACACACATCCCTCCACCCTAAGGATCCAGACTCTGCAAAGCTATGTCTGTCCCATGGTGTAGATTGCTGGTTCTTGAAGAAGAAATTTTTTTTAAAGATTTTATTTATTTATTTGACAGAGAGAGAGAGAGCACAAGCAGGGGGAGCTGCAGGCAGAGGGAGAGGGAGAAGCACGTTCCCCGAAGAGCAGGGAGCCCCATGTGGGGCTCGATCCCAGGACCGTGGGATCATGACCTGAGCCGAAGGCAGAGGCTTAACCAACTGAGCCACCCAGGTGCTCGTTGAGGAAGGATTTACATATGTTACATATGAGGAAGGATTTACATATGTTACCCCCAGAACTAAGGAGAGGGGTGACTAGGAACGGCTGCAGGGCCCGGGGCATCCCTCAGACACAAAGGGCCTCACCTCTGTGAATTTGGGGAAGCGATTGGATGAAACAACAGGAAATGCTCTTAGGGGCAAATACAGGGACCAGGGACCCACAGATAACCCCATGTGGTCTTGCTGTCCTGTCTCTCCATAGTGCTCCATGCTGAAAGAAGAGTTAAAGAAGGAAGATGCTCACAAGGAGCACCAGGAAGCCCAAGGGAAAGAGTTAAAACTCTGCAAAATTGTGAGTTGAGCCTCCTCACTGCTAACTGTCCCCAGAAAGGCTAGACTTTGACCTTCAGTGTTTTCTGGGGGGTCGGGGAGGGGTTCCTTGGACCATTAGATGGCACAAGCTGTGGGGCTTTAATGATTGTCCATTGACCTAGCCTCCTAATCCTTTGAAATGCTGCCTCTAGCCTCAAGGAAGAGGATGGCTGAAAATACCATAGAAAACACACTCTCCCAGCATTCCCCGGGCAGCGGGCAAGTTCCCCCTGGGCCTGGGTGTGGGACACACGGCCCCGGCCCCTGGACCTATGGTGCCCACACTGTCATGTTCCCCTGTCAGAGTTTATCAGAGGCATGGACACGGTTATTAACACAAAATTCTTCTTGAAGTATTTTTGCGGAAATAAGCAACGTTACACCAATTCATAAAAAGAAAAGGTATCATTTGCCTTAGATAGACGATGACTTTGGAAATAAACAACGACAAAAATATGAGCACGCAAATGAAAATGTTCATTCCCTGCACCAGCTGAATCCTCTTGCCCGACAGCAGGTGTGAGTTTCCATATGCTGGGAAGTACAGTGCCTTTGCCACAAGGAGACAGGCCTGTTCTCTGTGCCAAGAACATTGCTATTCTCTGCCTCGAAATGGGAGAAAAGAAAATTTTCATTGTTCTGTCCTTCCAAACTGTGTCCATTGTTCATCCAAGCAGCCCTTATTTAGCTTGATCTCAAGAATATACCCCAGGGGAAGAGTTCTAATGAGTTGATAGATATCTTGTACTGTTTAATCCAGGGTCCATGCTGATTTTCAAAAGAAACTAATCATTTCCCTTTACCCAATTTCCCATACATCAGTTGAAGAAACATCTACTTTGCCCCACGGATGTAGAATTTTCCCCCAAGGGAAGCAATTAAGCTAATACCGGACTAGGTTTCTGCCTTAATGAACCCAATGAAATGAGCTACAGAGATTCAGAATTTTCAGCCTAGAGGGCCACTCCCACTTCCCGGTGAGGGAAGTTGATTTCCTGTTGTTGAAACTCTTTCAGCAAATCCAAGACATGGAGAAAGAAATGAAGAAGCTCAGGGAGGACCTGAAGAAGAGTTGTACTGAACAGAACATGATCTCTAAAACGCTGCTAGAAAAGAGCAAGGTAAGGCAAGGACAGTGTGGCCCAGTGACCGCTCTGGGCCAGGCTCTCTGCACGCAACATCTCCATGAGTCTCACAACGACTCCGTGTGGTCAATACTGGTATTAACCCCACTTGACTGTTGAGAAACCGAAGCTCCCAGAGATAAAGTTCACACAGATAAAGTAGCTGTACTATTCAGAACCTGAACCCAGGTCTATCTGACTCCAGTGCTCCTGTGTGTAACTGCTAGTCTAGGCTGACTTCAACTCTTAATTGGTAAAATTTATCCAGAAGAGAATTGATCCATTAAATCAAGTTTGCCAATGACGTTGTTCAAACTTAAATGCCCTTATTGGTGTTTTTGGCTATGTGTTCTATCAGTCATTGAAGAGGTACATTTTTTAAAATTTCATAATTGTGCATTTGTGTATTGTTACTTTTAGTATTGCCAACTTTTGCTTTGTATATTTTGAGGCTGTGTTACTAGTTGCCTATAAATTTAGAATTTTAACACTTCTCACTGGAAAAAAAAAAAAAAAACCTTTGATCATCATAAAACATCCCTCTTCATCTCTAGTAGTGTTTTCCCCTTAAAGTCTACTTTGTCATTAATATAAATCTGGCAGTGGGGCACCTGGGTGGCTCAGTCGGTGTTCAACTCTTGGTTTTGGCTCAGGTCATGATCTCAGGGTCCTGGGATCAAGCCCTACGTCAGGCTCTGCGCTCAGGGCAGAGTCTGCTTCTCCCTCTCCATCTCCCTCTGCTTCTCTCTCTCTCTCTCTCTCTCTGTCTCAAATAAATAAATAAATAAATAAATAAATAAATAAAATCTTTATATATATATATATAAAACTGGTGGCCACACTGGTTTTTCTTTTGGTTAGAATTTTCATAGCATATCTTGTTCCTACTTTTTCTGTCAATCTTTGTTTTAAGTTTTAGACACATCTCTTCTAAATAGCACATCATCTTTATAAAATCCACTTTGACAATCTTTGTTTTTTAGTCCATTTATATATAAAGTGGTCGCTGGTTTATTGGGGTTTAAATCTACCTTCCTGCTCAGTATCAGCTGTACAATCTGTGTAATGCTCCCTTTTCTTCCTTTCTTGCCCTCTTTTGAGTTAGTGGTTTTCTGTCATTCCATTTTTCTATTAGCTTGGAAATTCTTTCCTCTTTTACTACTCTCTTAGTAATAGCAAGACAATAGCATTCAGCCTTGACTTACGAAAATCCAATAGTAATTGAATTTCTCACTCTTTAACTATTCTTTTAATGGTCAGCCTAATGGCTATAATCTGCATTCTTGACTTACCAAGATCCAACATTAGTTGATAATTATTCACTTCTCCTTGGTAAGGCAATGACTGTAGAACACTAACTTCGCTCATCCCCCTCCAGATTTGTATGCCACTGTTGTCATTTTCTAGATTATTCCTTTTATTTTATTTTATTTTTTATCTTATTTTATTTGTGTTTTCCTTCAGCATGGCTGTGATGATGATAAATTCTCTCAGATTTTTGCACATGCATCTTTGGAAATGAATATTTAACCTTCATTCTTAAAACACATTTTGAGTATCGAATTCTGCATTGACAATGACATTCTTCTGGCGCATTACCAGTAGCATCAGGGCCATCATTCCCTTGTTTCTCAGGTCCTGTTGTTTCTACTTAGAAGTCATTTAGAAGCCTAACTCTTGTGCCTTTGTGTAATCTGTTTTCCCTGGCCGCTTTTAAGATTTTCTTTTCTCTTCACTTTTAGCAGCTTTATTATGATTTATTTAGATGTGGATTCATTTTTATTTACCTTGTTTGGCATTCACACGGGCTTCTTGAATCCTTGGCTGGGTGTTTTGCATTAGTGTGGCACTTGAGTGACCTACCACACAGGCGGCGGGGAGCTGCTGAAGGCTTTTGAACAGGGAGCTGGTATGATTACATTGTGATCAATAATAACGGTGAAGGGCGCCTGGGTGGCTTGGTCGGCTAAACTTCTGCCTTCGGCTCAGGTCATGATCCCAGGGTCCTGGGATCGAGCCCTGCGTTGGGCTCCCTGCTCAGCGGGGAGTCTGCTTCTCCCTCTCCCTCTACCCTGACCCCCTGCTGTGAGCGCTCTCTCTCTCTCTCTCTCTCTTTCAATCAAATAAACAAATAAAATCCTGTAAAAATAATAATAATGGTGAAAACAATAGCTGTAATAGCCATAATTTCCCATGTACTAGGCATTATGCCAAACATTTAATCTTTCTCAAACATTTATCCTCTCCATTTTTCAGATGAGGGAATCAAGGCTCTTAGTCACTAGTAAGGTAACCAACCCATGGCCACACTGTCAGTAGGAGGCGAAGCCAAGACTGGAAGCCAGGCTTCTCTGGTTCCAGTCACTGGGGCATAGCCACTAGCCACACGCGACTCTTCACACTGAAATTAATCAAGATTGGGTAAAATTCAAAACTGAGTTCCTCAGTCACACCAGCCACATTTCAAGTGCTTGATGGAGCATTTCTATCACTGCAGAAAGCTCTGTCAGACCGAGCTGCCCCACAGCCTGGTAACTTGCACAGCACCATGAAGAATGTGCTGGAAGGAAGTAAACGAGAAGGAGGAGGCCACTTTACCACAGGCCAGAGGTCCCCAGTGTCCGATGGCGTGGCTCGCCAGGGTAGGGACGGAGACGTGGACTGGACGTGAGAGGGGTTGGAGCCACAGGCTTGGAGATCACCGAGCCTGAGAGACAGAGTGGGGTGGCAGCGCAGGAAGGCCCCCAGGGCTGGGGTGGGGAATGAGGGGCTGTTCATTAGATGGGGAGCCTAGCTAAAAGCAGAGTCCGGGCTGGACTTGGCTTTCCCGGTGTATGAGAAAGTCTGCTGAAATGGAAGTTCCCGGTGTATGAGAAAGTCTGCTGAAATAGAAGTCAGAGCATGTTTAGACATGTTTAGGGGGATGTACGTGGAGGAAGCTAAGGCCCAGAGAGGTTAGGGCTTTGCCAAGGTACCGTCGCTACTTAGAGGCGTGCAGAAGAAAGCTCTACAGGGCTCTTCTGGGTCTTTTATTACTTCTGTGATTCCCCGCCCCCCCCTTCAGCCCCTTAAGAAACAGCTCGTGAAGTTGTTTCAGCACGAAATCCTCACGTTCATTTAGGGGAGTTTTCTTCATTTCCCAGTGGTGCCAGAGCCCTGGCTCAACAGGTGCTTCCAAAATGTTACTGTTCAGGGAAGAACGGCTCAGCTGCAGGGTCCCATAACAACCAGCAGAGGGCAGCCTCGAGCACCTGCAAGCTCACCTCGCCTTGACTATTGACCAAGCAAGGGGGAATAAATGGGCAAGTTTCCCCCGCTGTAAACGCCTTCTTTTGCAACCTGCGATTCTTAAAAGACATTGCTTAGCAAGCCCCCAGAGCGGTTTCCACCGGTGAGGGTGCTAAAAGTGGCAATGACAAATCGTTACTATAATAAGCCTACTAACAACATCTACCAAGTACTGACCATGGGCCAGTTCCTAGCGGCATTAGAATGACGCCGCCTGCTGGACATTTCTGTCCGCCTCTACAGATTACACCACCTGATGCACGCATAGAGCCCTCAGGAGGTACTGGCACTACTCTAAACATTTGGAATCCCCGCAATAACACTATGAGGCGTACTAGGATCATCATCCCCATTTGACAGATGAGGACACTGTTCTGAGGTCACACGGCTTGCTGGGGACCTGGAGGGGATCGGAGCCTGAGCCCTGGGGGGCGCAGAGTTCGGCCCTCTCCCCTGGGGGGCAGTTCTGGGGAGCCTGCCTCCACCCTGCACTGGCCTGTGACCCCTGCCACCTGGGCTGCAACCGCCCCTGCCCCCTGGGACTCCCCCATGGCCATTAGACCTCCTAGAGGAAGTTCCCCGGAGTGCATTATGATCACAGTAGTGGCGAGCACATGCTTTCATCGTCATTTCAGGTTGAAGAGAAGCTTCAGGAGGATTCCAGAAGGAAATTGCTCCAGCTACAAGAAATGGGGAACAGAGAGAACCTCATTAAAGTCAATTTGGAAAGGGCAGTAGGTCAGGTAGGCCAGCTCCAGAGCCCCCTTTAGTGACCCACGTTCCCCATGGGTTTTCTGCACCCAAGCCGCTGGTGGGGGTGAGTGAGGAGGACATTGGCCGTGGTTGAATTCTCCCTTTTATCCGGGAGGAGAAGCCAAGTGTGGCTTCTGCATCCCAGGCAACACCTCGAACAGGCTTCTCCTGCTGGGAAGCTGCCCACACAAGCAGTTCCCTGTCTGAGACCCAAGCAGCCCATCCGGGCCCCATGCCTGCCCCAGTTAACCCGCCGGGCGGCTCCCTCTGGGGAAGAGTTTGAGCCTCTTGATTCCATGGTGCTCTTAGTACTTTCTTCCTCACATTTTTTGTCTTGACATTTAGCATGATCTCGCTTCCTCTGTTCACCAGCAGATGTCACAGTCAGTGTCCTTAAGGAAACAAAGTAAGACCCCAGAATGTCAGAGCATTCGCTTGATGGGGAAGTCCCTAGGCAGGGTGGTGAGCAGGCTCTGAGAGGCTCGTCTAGGGGTTACCATTCCTCTAATACTCTGGCTCCAGGTGGCCCAGTGACCCTTCCGCTTATGTGTGGTACAGATGTGAGGGCCAGAACATGCAAACAAGACTTCCCCAAAGGCTAAAGGAGAGCAAACGGGAAGCCAGAATGGAGGCACTGACCCTCCAGAATATGGCGCTCCAAGGGCAGCCCACCTTGGACTTCTCCCCAAGGGGCTCTCTCCTGGCAACCACAGACAGCTCCAGGGGACCCAAGAACGTTTTATGTGTATATATGTGTTTGTGCTTTTGTTTTTCTGGGAAGGAGGGTCCACCATGTCACCCACTGGATTCTCAGAAGGGTCTGTGAGCCACCAAGAAAAGTTAAGAACCACAAGCCTTAAAGGAGCCCTCTATCCCACGAGGCCCAGCTCCCAAAGCCCTTCTGAGCCTTCCCGGGGCCGCGTGACCTGGGCTTTGTGAGAGGCACACACAAGTTAAATAACAGTGCTGACCACTGGGCAGATCTTAAAGCCCCTTCAACAAATGTCACCCCCCAGTGTCATCTCTGCAGGGGGCCAGCACAGAGCAAGGGCAGAAAGCCTGCCAATCTGGGCCTCCCTTTGTGCATCTGGAGTAGCCCCTCACCCTTCCTGTGCTCTGCAGCCCCCAACACACACCTGATTTGAAGGCACGATCTGTGTCACTTGCCCAAGTACCATGGCTCTGGGGAGAAGTCTTTGGGAGGACCCTCAGAGACAGAGATTCCTCCAGGTCTAGACCCAAGAGACAGAGGATGAGCCCTGTCTCTGCCACCTTCCCATCCCACCCCCCGTATTTCCATGGCCCTGCTCCCCATCTGAGATTCTGCACCTCCCCAGGCAAGTGGCTCCAGGACTGAGCCCTAGAATGAGGAGGACCTGTCCCCGAGCAGTGCTGTAGGGTGCCTCTGGTGGTCATGGAGAGCCGTCATTCACTGGGGCCTCTCTACATAACCTCTTCCTCTTCCTGGGCTAGTTAGGACCCTCCCCTTGGCCGTGGGTCTAGAGGACGGCCTGGAATGCCTCGAGGCACCCCCCAGTCAGCTTGGGGCTGCCTGATTGCAGGGGCATCCTTGGGAGATTCATTATTCCACTGTTGGGTTCCCAGAACGCCACAGTATATAATAAACCCTGCATATTAGGACCTTTTGATTTTTAAGTTGATTCAGTGGCATTTATGGTCCCTTCAGGGCTCTGTTGTATGTATGTATGTATTTATTTATTTATTTATTATTTTTGTTTTCTGTGTGTGTTTGTTTTCTTTTTTCTTTTGTTTATTTTTTTAATTTTCAGGGCTCTGTTTTAGAGTCGATGACCACATTTTGCCAGTGAACCAAAAACCCAGGCCGTGTTGGTAAATTCTCAGAGAAAGTGGGGCTTCTTTGCCTCTCACTTCTCCTGGAACTGGACACCTTAAACTTGAACTTCCTGCGTGCCCTGATTTAATTTAACTGTGCTGTTTCATCAGCCGTAATCTGAAAACACCAGCGCCCAGGCGGCACTCAATAAAAGCCGGTTGAACCGGAGTAGAGGACCCGGGTTTGTGACAGATGTCTCTGCATACAAGCATCCGATGAATATGTATTGAGCGCCCACTCTGCCGGGCATCGTACCAGGCTCTGGAGAGACAAAGACAATAGACACCGTGTTCAGGACACGTATGGTTGGAGGCCCAGGATGGCAGAAGGGAGCACGTTGTCCTTCTCGCCGGGCATCCGGGCTGATGACACCATTTACTTCGGCTGACAGCCTCAATATTTATTTCACAGTCTGGTGCCAACTTAACAATTATCTCAGAGCGCTCCCGGCCCCAGACATCCCACTGGATAATTGGCAGCAAGTGGCTCTTCCGAGGTCACCAGACGTGTGTGCCCTGACCACGTGGGTCGGTTGGGTTGGGCAGGCAGACCTAAAAAGTAATTAAAACCCGCTGTTCTGTTCTCTTCTGTCAGCACTGCCCCTTCCAGTGAGAGGTGAAGATTTTCATGACCCACGATGACCATTAGCAGTGCGCGGACCCTCCTCACTCCTGGGCCCCCCCCCCCCCGCGCCGCAACTGCCACACCCAGGCTTGCGGGGGGGCCCCCTGCCGGCCCTGCTGACTCTGTCGCCTTCCCTTTGTGCTGTAGCTGGAGCATTTCAGAAGTCAAGTCATCAAGGCCACCTACGGACGGGTGAAGCCGTTCCTGGACAAGCCCATCACCGATCAACAGGTTTGTCTCACGTTGTCACTTCCTCCTCCAGAGACCTGGGACTCCAGACACTGGGAGCATATGCTTCTGTGTTTTGTTGGTGGTACATATTTTTCACACTGTTGCTACACCATAAAGATTTGTTTTGATTTTATGGGATTTCCTGGCTTTTAAAGTAAAAGCCAGTTAAGCTCCCTTGAAATGTTTCTGTGAAAATCAAATTAAACCACTCAGGCCTATTTCTGGTCTCCAGACACACACATTTACCCTTCGTTAGCACCTTAAAAAAGGGGGGGGGACTGCCTCTCTGTAGACGATGCATTCTCACTTCTTCCTTCCGAAGGGAAGAGATGGTAATGGGGGTGGACCTCTGGCCATAACGATTGCCTGGTCATTCTTCCGATTTTCTTTCCAAACCTCTGCATCCATGCACTGATCTGCTCTTCATGAGCCCACAGCATCAGGCTCCGTGTTACAAATCACTGCTACTATGCAGAAGAATCTAGAACAAACTCATGACAACATTACAGACCTTTGGCTCTTAGCCATCTCAGATCCTGGGAGACATGTCCTGGGGACAAGAGCCGATGTCCTCCTCCAGAGCCATCACCAAGACACATCAGGGCCTCCCTGCTCAGCTGCGGACCCAGGAGTTTGAATTATGCTCCCCACTCCCCTCCCAGAGCCACGCTGTCCTGTAAATCTCTCTTTCCTTTTTCTCACCAGCTAATAGAGAAGATTACCCAGGTCACTGAGGACAACATCAACTTTCAGCAGAAAAAATGGACGCTGCAGAAGGAGACTCAGCTCAGCAATTCCAAACAGGAGGCAATCACAGAGAACGTCGAGAAGCTGAAGGCATCTTTAGACAGCTGCCAGGTGGCCTCTCTCGGCTTTTTACAAATGCCCCCTACGTCTCTTTCTTGTGCTGCTGGTTTGGGAAATTGCCCAGCGTTCGTGGAGCAGGTCAGGCAGAAATGCTCTGCTCTCTTTTGTCCTTTTCTCTTGTCGGAGAAATCTGTTTGGGAGCAGAAAACAAAGAGCCTCAAAAAAATGCCTCCAGGTGAATTTGGTGTGGCCAAGGAAAAGAGGCCTGACACACTCCTGGTATTGATTTGGGGAGACCCCAGACCCCAGCAAAAAATAAGTCCCCTGTTACTTCCAGAGAAACCAAAGAAATATCCAGGCTCTTTATTTGCATTTTTTTTTTTCTTGGGCCAGCAGTGGAAAGGCTATTGTTTTGGGGTCTTTTTCTTTGTGCCTCTTTTGCTTTTGACTCTGGAGGAGACAGGCCCAGAAGTCTGCCTGAGCCCCCGCGGCTCCCACACTGAAATGGAGCCTTCCAGAGCAGACAGCTGCTTCTGCTTTCTCTGGAAATAAGCAGCAACTATTCGGGGAGCCCATGCAAATGCTGGCTTGTCAGCACTCTTTGAAATCAGGAAACCCCACTTGCTGACCATCTGATGCGTTGATCTCAACAGGAATTTTGATGAACAGGAGTCGCCAAACTTGGTTCCCATTGCCGCCAGGTATCCTTGGCAATTTGGCTTTGGAACTGCAGATACCTAAAAGTGGGGTCTCTTTGACCATCCAAAGTCCAAATTAGAGTGCAAAAAAACAAAAAACAAACAAACAAAAAAACAAAGCTGCCCCCAAAGGAAGGTAAATACAACGGAGCCATCCCAGTGCGTCCGGCATGTGGGCATCATCTGCCTCAGAGCAAAGGCGAGGGTGCTGCTCTTAGGTGCCATCTCTGGTCACAGGGTCTGGGCACCTCATGACCTCGTGTCTTTCCAGGCTTGCATGAAAATGTCCTGCTGTAGCAAGGACCTGAAGAAGGAGGTGGACATGCTTCAGACCCTTCAGGTGAGCCCACCTGTTTCAGGGCTCCAGAAGGTGGTGCTGGACATCCTGCGCCTGTCGCTGTCCTGGCTGGAGGAAACAGAGCATCTCCTCCAGGAAGTCGGGATCCAGTTATCCAGCTCGGACACAGGTTAATGGCACTTTTCTTTTTCCTCTCACATAGTCCCATGACTCTAAAATGTCGCGTTGAATCTTATCATGGTGGGACATCTGTTGAGGAAGGCTTCTTAGGTATGTGGCCAAGTATTCCCTTCTGCAGACTTTCTTTGAGAAGTGATTTTTTCCTTGGGGGTAAAAAAAAAAAAAAAAGTGAGACATGATCACTGAAGAAAAATGAGACGTAACACAAGCAAAAGGAAGATTAAATCAAAATTATGCTAAGTAGTTGCTCAGAAGCAACTACCAATATATATATATACATATATAATTTTTAATAGACTTTTTTTAGAGCCGTTTTAAGTTCACAGCAAAACGGAGAGGAAAGTACAGGGACTTCCCATGTACCCCCTGCCCCTCCCCCGTGCCCCGTCCCCCCCCCCCCGGTTATCAGCATCCCCCACCGCAGTGGTACATTTGTTACAGTTGGTGAACCTACACTGACACATCATTACACCCAGAGACCATGCTTCACAATTGGGCTCACTCTCAGCATTGCACATTCTGTGGGTTTGAACAAAGGTATCATGGCACGTATCTACCACTATCATATCACACAGGAGAGTCTCATTGCCCTAAAAATCCTCCGCTCTCTATCTACTCATCCCTCCCCCAACCTCCAGCTCCTGGCAACTACTGATCTTTTTACTGCCTCCATGGTTCTGCCTTTTCCCGAATGTTATGCTGTTGGAATCATACAACCTTTCAGATTGGCTGCTCTCACTTTGTAATACGCACTTATGTTCCCTCCATGTCTTTTCATGACTTGATAGCTCAGTTCTTTTTAGCACTGAATAATTGTCTGGACAGATCACTGAATAATTGTCTGGATGGTTTATTTATCCATCCACCTAGTGAAGGACATTCTTGTTGCTTCCAGGTTTGGGCAATTAGGAGTAAAGCTACTGTCATCACCCGCATGCAGGTTTTTGTGTGGGTAAAGGTTTTCAACTCCTTTGGATAAATACCAGGGGGTATGGTTGCTAGAGCATGTAGTAAGAGTAGGCTTAGTTTCTAAAGAAATCGCCAAACTATCTTCCAAAGGGCCTGCACCATTTTGCATTCCCACTGGCAATGCACGGGAGTTCCTGTTGCTCCACATCCTTTGTCAGCATTTGATGTTGTCACTCCTGTTATAGTTCAGGTGTAACTCCCACAGCATTTTCCCATGGAAATAGCTCTATGATTCTTACTCTCTCTTGCCTCAGTTTCCTTATGTGTAAAATGAGGATAATAAGGAGTACATACCCCTTGAGGTTGTTGTGAGGATTAAAATGTATTGGTATATGTAAAGTACTTAGAGTTGTATCTGGTACAGAGTAGGCACTACCTATACATTTTTTAAAAAAATTTTTTATCATGGACATTTAAGTTGTTTCCAGTTTTCCATACTTACAGATAATGCTGAAGTGAACGCTATCGAACATATACCTACTCACCTTACATTTGTCATCTTAGAGGTGGAAGGACATTGAACCACTTCCATTCAACAAAGACTTATTGCATGCCTACTAGACATCAGCACACTGGGCGCCTGGGTGGCTCAGTCGTTAAGCATCTGCCTTCAGCTCAGGTCGTGATCCCAGGGTCCTGGGATCGAGTCCCACATCGGGCTCCCAGCTCGGCGGGAAGCCTGCATCTCCCACTCCCCCTGCTTGCATTCTCTCTCTCTCTCTCTCTCTCTCTCTCTCTCTGTCTGTCGAAAAATAAAAAATTAAAAAAATAGTCATCAGCGCTGTGTGGGGCAGAGATGTAGTGGGGCCAGAAACAGGTGGAATCCTGGTCGAGAGTGTATGGGTGTTAGCTGGAAAATTCCTCTAGCTTTATGTACATTTGAAATTTGCCATACTAAAATATTGAGGGGAAAACAGGCACTATTCCTGTCCTCAAAGACCTTGTGGTCTGGGGCGGGGAGGGTGGGAACAAATTGAAAAATCACTCACACATAAAACTTTAAAGGTGACAAGTGCTACAAAGAAGACATGCAGAACTCTGACCTGGTCAGGGAGGGCAGGGCATCTGCAGGATGCACAGGAGTTATGATGCATAGGAGTTATTTGCCAAAGAGGGGAGGGGAGAAGAAGGGAGGGGAGAGAATTCTGGGCAAAAAGAGTTGCATGGCAGTGGGAGGGGAGCATGAAGAACACAAGGGACTGAAAGAAATGGGGATCAGAGGTGGGACAGGGCTGGCAGGGAAGGTCAGCAGGGGCTGTGCCGTGTGGGCTTGCAGGGCCCTCCTAAGAAACTCTGCTTTAACCTAAGAGCAGTGAGAAGCCAATGAAAGACTTTAAGAAGGGAACCGGTGGGACAGGTTTGCTTTTGGAGATAATCCTCTTGGCTGTGAGTGGAAAATGCCCATCACAGAGCGCCAGAGAACCAGTTAGGAGGCTGTCACAAGAGATGGATGGTAGCTCCAGGGCAGGAGTGGGACAGAGAAAGAGAGAAGTTTCTCAGGCATTTAAGAGGTAAATCGACAGGCTTCGGTAGTGGAATTGGATGTAGTTAGAGGGGAAGTGACAGAGAGAAAGGGGTCTACAGACCTCCGGGTTTCTGGCTTGTGTAAAAGGACAGACAGTGCTTCCTTCACTAAAATCCAGAATAAGGAACACTGCATGAAGACCAGGTTTGAAGGACGTGCCCGTGAGATATTCAAGATGAGGTGCCAAGGATGCAGCTGTCACCCTGTATGTCTAGTCTGGAAATAGACATTAGTGTGTTGTATCTCCAGAACCCGGAAAAGCGTGTGCCACATAGTGGGTGCTTAATAAATAACTATGGGAGGGATGGATGGGGGGATGGAGGGATGGGTGGGTAGATGGTGGGTGGAGGAAAGGAAGGATGGGTGGATGGGTGGTGGGTGGATGGATGGATGGACGGTTGAATGGATGGGTGGATGGGTGGTGGGTGGATGGATGGATGGACGGATGAATGGATGGGTGGATGGTGGGTGGATGGGGGGATGGATGGATGGGGGGATGGGTGGGTAGATGGTGGGTGGATGATGATTAAAGCCATAGGTGTGAGGGGCGCCTGGGTGGCTCAGTCGTTAAGCGTCTGTCTTCGGCTCAGGTCATGATCCCAGGGTCCTGGGATCGAGCCCCGCATCGGGCACCCTGCTCAGCGGGAAGCCTGCTTCTCCCTCTCCCACTCCCCCTGCTTGTGTTCCCTCTCTCGCTGTGTCTCTCTCTGTCAAATAAATAAATAAAATCTTTAAAAAAAAATTAAAAAAATAAAGCCATAGGTGTGAATGCTCTCACTTAGGAAGAAAGTATATGAGGGAGAGAGCCCAGGGCTACACCTTGAGGAACTCTGACATTTTGAAGATTGTTGCTACACCTCGCCAAGTCACCCTTCATAGAGTGACTTTGACATTCTTATAGCAATAAATGAGAATAGAGGAGTGATTTTCAACTCTGATTATTCAACATCCCTAGCCATGATTTCTCCAAAGTAGTCCTGAAGGTGGTGTAAAGTTCTTTTAAAAAGAAGGCAAAAGCAAAAACAAAAGCAAGTTTAACTTCTATAACTGCCTGCCCCTCTCCAGACCACACAGTGGCTCCCCAGTCCCAGTGTTACCGTTGTAATCTTGGCAGTCTTGAGCAAACGTGAAATCAGGTAACACATGGATCACGGTGCTTGTTGTTCTTCAAGATTAGAACTAAAACAAAGACCTAGTCATAGTGGGACCAAGTTATGTGTGCACCATCCCCTCCCCATGTCCAAGACCATTTTAGTCATTGTAGCTTATGTCCATAAATCTAGTCATACATGTTTTCATAAAGAAATGTGGATTATAGAGTTAAGTTTCAGGCCAGCGATTCCAGGAAGACTGACAAAGAGTCATTTCAGGCAACATTTCTCAGACCTGCCCTCTCAGGCACAGAGTCCCTCCTACACTAATATGCGCTATGAATCTAGAAAAATGGAATAAAGAATGCCGTGTTCCCAAAACACGTTTCTCCTTTTTTGCTGTCCTCACCTGCATCTAATATCTTTTGGAATAATGCTCTGTGGGACACCTGTGAGGAAAACACAGACCATATTCTGTAATCACAACTACTTGGTTCAGAGAAGTCAAAGAGGAAGCATGGAGGGTAATAACAGGAAGGTCAGTGAGTAGGGCCCATCCTTCATTCATTCGGCAGGAGAAGTTGATGGTAAAGGTATTTTTCTCTTCCAGTAAAAGCAGTAGTATGGCAAGGTCCCAAAAGACTAAAAGAAAGGAGTGAGCTAGAGAATTCCCTGTATTCTCTGTGGTAGGCACTACTGTATACCTCATTCCTAACACAGAACCATCTACACACAGATGGCAGCCGCCATGGTAGTGATAGTGAGGATGGTGACAGTGGTGAGGACGATGATGATGATGATGGTGAGGATGGTGGTGATGATAATGGTGATGATGATGATGATGATGGTGAGGACGATGATGATGATGATGGTGAGGATGGTGGTGATGAAGACGGTGATGGTCGTGATGCTGCTGCTGATGATGGTGAGGATGATGATGATGATGGTGAGGATGATGATGATGGTGGGGAGAATGACGATGATGGTTGGAAGGATGATGTTGGTGGGAGGATGGTGATGGTGATGGTGACAATGAGGGTGGGGAGGACGGTGGTGATGAGGATGATGATGGTGGTAGTAGAGGATAATGGTGATAAGTATGACAATCATGGTCGTGACCAAATGGTGACGGTGGTAATGGTGAGGAGGAGGAGGATGGTGGTGGTCATCATTCACTACTGAGCGCTTCTATTCTAGATGCTATTCCAAGCATTTCCATACATCATCTCAGTTCATCCTCACAACAACTCTGTGAGGCAGGTGCTGTTATCCTCATTTTAGAAATGAAGAAAATGTCTCAAAAAACACTTTTGTGAGTATTCCAGCATGATAAGGAGATTCAAGGTACTTCACATAACTGAGGCCAGCAGGGGGTCCCCAGTCATTCACCACCATCCACAAACA